AATACACATAAAATTCTGAATAGTACAGGGCAAGCCAATCGAATACTAAATACTGAAAGAGTGCGCACTAGTGCATCCAATCGAATTCGCCAATAGACATAGTATATCTAGACCGAGTGTTGAAGAGTGGAGGCCAAGGTGCACGTAGAAAAGGACATACTCTGTTCCGTGCTCCTTGCGTTCTCTCTCGCTCGCATGTAGCATAGCGTACTCTTTCGCTACGCTACATGCGAGCGAGAGAGAACGCAAGGAGCACGGAACAGAGTATGTCCTTTTCTACGTGTATCTTTACCCCCACTCATTAAATAAAGGCAAACGCTCGGTTTAGATATTTTAGGTCTGTTCTTTATAGCTAAACTGGCTGCACTAGTTCAAAGCTTATCTTTCTCCTTCCAATGGGGAGAGAAAAAGATAAACTCTGAACTAGTGCAGCCAGTTTAGCTATAAAGAACAGACCCACTATGTCTATGGTAACAAGCTTAGAACATATAAATGGAAGGGAATAGCAAGCTGAAAAGATGATTGGAGCGTAGCAAATCACAATCACAAACGCAATCGCAATCGCAGCCGCGAGTCGCTAGTGTGATTCGGGCTTAATGTAACCATGGGTCTGTTCTTTATAGCTGAACTGGCTGCACTAATCGTTGATTAATTTTGACCGTATATTTTTGACATTTCTTATATAAATATAGATTTCATTGAGAAGAAAGTATTGGCAATTTATTGTAAGAAAACTTGTTTGCTTTTTCGAAACAACTGTTTTCAAATTGCAATTATTATTATTATTATTATCATCTTCAAGAACAAGAATAATCCTCTTAAAAAGCAAGTATATAACAAACATTTTATATATAGACAGAATATTTCTGTATACAATTAAAATCTTATTACACACTTAAAGTGTATGAACATATGTTTATCAATTATTAATTATTGTACGTATTCAGGTGACGATCTGTGTGATCAACTGCGCAAAGATATGGACATAACAGCTTGTAGTTAAATATTGATTTGTAATTAAATGAAGACAATGGACAATCTGTCGGATTTATTTCAAGGGGAATTAGACTCTGTTACTTCGACGGACTCTTTCCAATTTACCACCGATGAATTTCATTTGCGACACCTGTCTACGCCCGATGTCTCGAATATTGAACTGTCTAAGCGAGTAGCTCTATTGGAACTCGAGAACGAGCGACTGCGCGTCGATCTGGAAAATGTGCGGATCGATCTCAACGCTCGGATCGCTGCAAATCAGGGTCTCAAGGGCAAGATAACCGAGTTGTTTGTCGAAATGCAAACAATATTGCGGGACAAGCAGAAGCTGCAAAACACGTTGACCGACACTAACAGTCGTCTTTCCGCGGCGGAGGCTTCTGCGAAATGGTACCAATCGCAGGTTCATATTCTAATGGCTGGCAAGAAGAGTCTGCAGGTGGAAATAGACACATATCAGGGCATACTGAAGCAACGGCAGCGGGCAATAGCGGATATAAATGCCAACTACAAGAAACTGAGCGTTGAATACACTGAACTCGTGCAGCAGTATCAGAAGGAGAAGCAGGAGATGCAAAATGCAATGAAGGATCTGCAATTACGCATCCAATCTATCGACACGATACAGGATACATCAGATGGAAATTCGACAGATAGTCCAACAGACATATCTATGGTATTGGAGGCGACTGAAGAAGAGTTGCGAAACACCAGAACTGAGCTAAAGACACTGGAACAATGTCTGCTAGGCAATGAGATGGCCATGATATCCATGGAGAATACATTGAGCAAGCAACGTGTCCTCATTGCATCTATGGAAGAGAACATACAGAAATGCGAGATGGAGAAGAACGAGACCGCCGATCTATTGCGGAAGACACAGTTCGAAATACAGAAGCTGAGATCCGAGAACGAGACATTGCAAACTTCTTTATTGGTATCCAAACGAGAACAGAGTCAAGTGGAGGATGCAATATCTCATCTAAAAATACAGCTGACCAAGATGATAGCGCAATACAAATTATTGAAATCTAAGAATGCAGAATCTGAAGAGAAGTTGAGTAATATGCAGAATCTCGCGAGTGAGAATAAACGTTTGAGGACCTTATCGCATAAAGCAAACAGTGCTCTGCTCAAAAAGCTCAGAGAAGAGAAGCTTAAGATAAAAACTTTAGAGCAAAAACTGCATTGCAAGCAGATGAATGGTCAACTTAATGATATAGTATTTATATTTTCATATTACTTAATAAAATCACTATCTTTTTTTTATAATATGTATTTACCACACAATATGCAATCTGTAATTACAACATAATACAAAGATATACATATCACAATTTTATATTTTAATAAATAATATATAAGATTATATTCTGTGAATATATTTGATATATCTTATTATTTCAGAGAAACAAAACAGAACATTCTTTGCGCGAGTGTCTGAAACAAGTTCTGTCACGAAACAAGGTAATTTATTCCAATATAATATACATAAACACATAACAGTAAATAATTAATTTTACTCAAACATGTATTATCAATAATAAGGAAGACAAAGTATCTTGATGTTATGCATTTTATAGGATTTACAGGTGCAACTGAAATCTGTGACTAGAATAACCGACGAGAGTATCGATGAAGGGTATGGTGATAGTAACAGTATTAACACTTCTTCAATTTCGCTGGACATTCCATCTTTGTCTCTTATGAACTCGGTATTGTTGAACAACGCTATCGACGTTCTCACGCGAAGCAAAGATTTTGCTTTGCCGATGCAAGAAAAGTTGAGCGCGCTTCGATCGAAGATGGAGATATTTCGGGATCAATGCGACGCGTCAAGTCAACGAAAGAATCTTCATATATCTTCCAATATCGATATGATTTCTTCGAGAGTTTCCACATAGTTCAAGACCTATCTTTTGTTCGCGGATACGCGAATAAAATATAGCCTTAGAAAGAGAGGAAGAGAGAGAAATAGTAAGTAATTATATATCTATTTTACACGATATATACTCATGTATATCGTATTTAGTTGAGAAAATTTAATTCTAAGATCACATAATTGGCAAAATAAAACGCATTTAGTATTACTGTATATATACTAAAAAGAAATATTTAATAATAATACCGTACTTGTATTACTTGTTGAAGTATAAAAAAGAAGATTGTTAAATGACAGCATGTCAGTATTTATTTGTTATATTTTTAAATACACTATATAAATGTTATATTTGTTAAATGTTATATATTAATTCTTAATTTATGTAATCGCGTGCAGGAGATATTTGGTTTATTCGCTATTGAAATTTGTTAAAGAACTGGATAACACGGATGCAATCTATTAACATTGTGTAATAAATAAATATAAATATGTATATGTATAGCAATAATATACATCATAATTATATGAAACTTGCATAAAGCGCGATAACTGCATCGAATAATGTAAGTGTTATTATTCTAATATATAAAAAATTGCTGATGTAATATACAAATGTCAGTATTACAATATATGATAAGGTATTCATATTGTTGTCAAAAAAATTTTATATAAAGACGTGCTAGAAAAAATTTGCAAAAATGGCTGCAACCTGTGTGAATATGTTTTATTAAAAATAAAATGTGTGAAACGTATACACACACAAGAGATAATGAATTAGCGAGTGCGATAATACGTATCGTCATATTTGTGTACTTACAGCTACCATGGAACAAATGTAGATAGAAACAGTGTATAAATATTCTCTCGTACGTCTTGCGTATCTTGTAACGAAACAGTATTTGTAGAAGCGCAATAAATTGCTGATCTTCCAGACATTCATAAGCTTAAAGATTTATTCGACACTTAAGCTCGCTATGAAATGAAACCATAGAAGTGTATATCACACCAATTTTTTTTTCTTTTTTTTTTTACAATGGAGATACATGATTACTTATGTAATATATATGTATGTATGTATGTTTTTACTCTTAAATGATCTCGCCTCTAATTTCTGTATACTTGAACATTTAATTTTCTCTCTAACTCTTGTTTTTCTTACAATGCTAAGCCATGTAAAAAGGGCGGTTGACAATTCGATGTTAATTAACACGTGAACACTAACGTGAATCTTACATATAAATAATATCACAATTAAGTGATTTTATCAATAAATAAATTTTTCAATTAAGAATTTTCTGAAATAGAAATCCCCCCCATCCCCTAATAAAAGAAATATGGATAATATTCATATATATTTATGTTTCTACTCTTCAATGATCTCGCCTCGTAATTATTGAATATTTAATATTCTTTCTCATTTTTGTTCTTTTTATATGATATAAGAAAATACATATGTATCGACAAAGCTGTGAAAAACTACGGATCCAAGATACAAAATCTTGATAGAACATCAGAGTATACAAGTGGAAAAACCCAATTAAGTTATATAAATAATTATACCATATTTGTAAGATGATCAGAATAAGAAATTTCATGTTAAACGTGTCCAGAAGCTAAAATTCGTAAAAGTTTCGACATGTAATAAATATTAGAGAAAGTTTATAATAGAAAGCACAAAGTTTAGTTTTTCTCATATATCAATGTGCTCCGGATAATGGTAGATGTATGACAAAAAGAAGCAAAAGATTTTTAAATGAGAGTTTAATTGCATGTTTGTTATACATCTTTTTCTTTTCTTTAGTTAAAGAAATTATGCAATATAATGCATCGCATTGTACAGAAGCTGCATATACGCGGCAAGTTCTCGAGTATTGTTTGCACACAGATGTGATATATATATACACATAAAAAATTAATGTAATAAGAAACTAAATAAAAATCATCGCTCTCTTAAAATATCACAGACATGTGTAAAAACGTAAAAGAGAGGAGTAAATAGGTACTCCCTATATATAAAGTCGATCTCTGTGTGTATTCTTTTTTTTTCTTTCTTTTCTGTCTTTTTTTCTTTTCTTTTTCTTTTAATAATCCAATATTCTTTGGTACTTACAAATAGAGATATAGATCGCAGCAGTAACTTAATTATCTGGCATTATAGAGAGATAGCGCGGCTTTTCCACAATATATTAGTAAAGTATAAAAATCTTTAAAACTAAATCGATTCAAATTGTTTTTATTTGTACTTATTATATTTCCGCAAGGATATTAATTTTAAGATAAGGCATATCGCCGTGTTTAAAACAAATACTAAAATATAACGATATTACTTAAAACGATAAAAATCGCGCGTATTTGGAGAGAAATATCATTAACAAAATTATAAAGATCCTATGTTTATAATACAATAGACTTTATATATAGAATTAAATCATCAATTATTTATTACATGTTTCACACTTCGACGATTTTTATAGCAATACTAATTTATAAGATACATCTCGAATAAAGATATTTTGACAAATATATACAAATGGAAACTTCGAAAAACAATATAATGAACATATCTTTAACATCTAAGAAAAAAGCTTGTCCTGATTGATTATGTGCCATATTGTAATATATGTAAATATACTAAAACAACCAACAAAAAGATATTAACATGATTCTTGAGATAATATAATCTGTTTCCGAGTATCTTTTTATAATGGTTATCATTAAAATACGATTATAGTTTATATTGGCTAATAATTTCTCTATATAATCAAAACTCTTTCTCCTTCTTTTATTTACAAGAACAATAAAAGAGATACTAAAACTTATTATTTTTTTTTATAATGTAGTGATTTAAATATTTAAAAAAAAAAAATGTTTTTAAAGCAGTTCACATATATATATGTATCACGAGATTTTTTTAAACAACGCTTACGCTTAAATCCTTTTTCTTTTTGATTTTAACCGTTGCAAAAAAGCGGCTTATAAATTATATACTTTACTAATTATTTATGCAAATATCGCGTAATCTTTAATTCAAGTATGTCTCATATTCTTTATACAGGATATTTTACGGACATAGACGATTAAACTTTAAGAACGTGCTCTACTCATTATCAGCATAGATAAAAAAGATCTTATAAACACGAGTCCAAAGATGCAATTATTGTTAAAAAATTTTGTCGTGGATAAAAAGTAATTATAATTCAGAAAAATAATGTTTCCGGTATTATATTACGTTTGTCACCACTCTTTTTCATCCTTAAATAGGTAGAATACACTCCTAAAGTTTGGCCACTTATCTTTGAAACCCCGTCTGTATTTCAGAATGTCTGCTAGATTCAGCTATAGCTATTTTCTTATATATTTCATGCGTCAATTTCTTTCCTTTAGCAAAAATTCGATAGAAAATTTAATTGCAAAAAATGATACTGATGTGGATTTTAAGTTATATTAAGCGAATCGAGCAATTATACTTTGGGAGTAGAAAAATTTCAAGTTGCAATCTAAAAACAAAATTATTCAAATTTTCATGCGTTTAAACCTCTTCCTTACATTTAACCTATTACCCTTTTATAAGTATCACATATTCATATGGAAAAGTTTATACAAGAGATTGCTAACAATTTTTTTCCAATATTTCATATATGTATATATGTATGTATGTGTGTGTATTATATACATATATATATACGTATATATTTTTCATATATACATATATATATATACATATATGTACATTTTTGTATATGTGGAAAGTATCTACAATAGACGATACCTTCGTCTCCTTAAAATTATAGTCATGTTTACGCGAAAATATGTAAATCGTACTATATGATACGATATGCGAATGCACGGAAAGAGGAACTTTACGAAAGAGGAATAGAACTTAAAGTAACAAAATTAGTTCTTAGTTGTATATGTAATATGAGATGTTTGTCCTGTTTTGTTCGAATTCGACATGTTGAGTAAGCTTTACTCTTTTTTTCTTTTTTATCACAATTGTCTACGCTTGTCGATCCCAGGCACTTCGATTATAAATTCAAAGTGCGAGCGTTGGTGAAAAGAGAGAAAGAGAGAGAGAGAAATCTTTTCTAAAAAAGTTTTACTTTAGACTTGAAAGCATATCTCAAGTTGCAAAACGTGTATCTGATGAGATTTTCAGATATGCCATATACTTTCTTCGTGAGTGAAACGTGAGCATTAAATGGCACAAATCATGTATAGTATGTTCTAAAGTCGCTTGAAGCTGCTTTTCGAGATACCATGAAATGTTATCTTCACATCAATCGTCCCGGAAATTCTTCAAATTTATTTGCTGCTCCTCTCTTAAAACTTTTCGCATGCAAATAATAAATTAAAATAATTAAAATATTAATAATTAAAATAATTAATAATTGCCATTCTACATTTAATTTATTAAATAATAAATTGTTGCATCTGATTGGTCGAACCTCTTGTACAAAAATTAATATTGAGCTGAATATGATAATGTGATTTCAAGACAAAAAAACATAATCTCCGCGACGACGTGCCGTCAATAAGAAAAATAAGAGAGTCGATTGTACCGGATAGATAAACCAATCAAATTATAATTATAATTAAAAACCGGAGTGTTGGGTGAACGCTATTGATAAAAACATTGAAAGAAATCAATTGACATTAACAGATACATCAATTGTAGAGAGAGGTTTGATACATTCCAAATATACCCGATAAACAAGAAAGAAATATTCGAACTGAAGTTATTTGAATAAAAGACTTCAAGGAAGATAAAGACAATTTTGACGTTCTAATTTGCATGGGAATAAAATAATACTGACAATAGATCCCAAAGAAGCTATTTTTTATTACAAGAAGACTGTTCACGAAAAAGACAAACGAAAGAAGTTAGATAATGGAAGCAACAGTTATACAACTCGTGAAGGAATGAACTAGTCATCATCGAACCAAAAAGTGAATCTTTCTAGATCTAAAAGCAGCGTTAAGAAGATGAACACTGCTAACAAAGCGACTTTTAGAACATTCTATATATACATTTGACAATTATAATTGCATATGTCAAATAGAAATTGAAATTGATATAATTTCACCAAGTTCTACATTTTAACGTAGACTCACCAAAGTTATAGCAATTATAATTTACTATGTGTCACGCAATATATCGTACATTAAGCGTAATAAATGGTATCCGTTAATTTTGATTATGTTAGATTCATACTAATGTATAAAATATCTTTGTTTCCATGCAATTTTTGATTGCTTAATTTTTTTCGTAATACACTGTCGCACGAGGCGGAGTTGCGAAATATATTTCTCGCATTGTTATATTTTTTTAATATTGTCGTCTGATTGTGCCCATTTAAAAAAAATAGAGAAGTTGGATATAAAAATGACATTTATACAGATTATTATAGATTAAACAATAAATATTTTATGTGCAGATTGTTTGACAAATTTAAAAATGTTTTTAATAAAAAAGTTGAAAAGAAAAAACATAAGAAATTGAAGTTTTGTTGTTATAAGTTTCTGAAACTCCCCATTTGCAGAAACACACGTTTTTATCTTCTATATTAATATCTCGGTAATTATTACTTCGAGCTTCTCTTTTCGCTTCGAGGTATAATAAATCGTTTTCCTGAAAAATTTGCAAGAAAAAATTAATAACTCATTAAAAAAAAGAGACTCTGTACTTGAAATATGTCGCGCTAAATCTCAAACGCCCTGTATTTTTGAAAGTAATCATCTCTCAAGTATATTCTCTTAGCACAGATTTAGCGCTAGATGTGTGATTATCTGGCTTTAAACTTTGCTTTTTTAATTAACAGGAGAATGAGATGATCATATGTAATGCTAAATATACGGTACGAAAAATTGAGCGTTTGTTTGCAGCCGTAATCGGAGAGACGACAAAATCAAAAAAAGATAATCATCGCGGATGAAATTGGGTAATCTTCTCGTACTCGCGGCAGTGAATATAAAGTTAGCGTGTGACATTTGAATCATCGGTTCTCCTCGTCCTGCAAAGCTACATTGCTTTAAGATTCATTTTTATCTCCTATATCGCTGACAAGTTAAATTGCTTCAAGAAACTATGTTCCTTAGTTTCTTAGAAATTCGTAATTTGATATAATTATAACAGAATTCAATAGTTTTATGCATCAATGTAAGTTCTTTCTCACATATATAGGATGTTTAAAAATTCGTTATACAAACTTTGTGTATAATACTTATTAAAATAAACAGAAAGATTTTTGTAAACGTGTTGTATTAAAAAAGCAATCGTTTTCAAATTATAAAAAGAAAAAAAAATATTTTTCTTTATCAGGAGATGTTTGGACATATGATATTGAGATACACATACGCTCGTATTGTTTGCGATTATGTTTAATATTCAAAATCTTCTTTCATTTAATATCGTTAAAGACGAAAAGAGGACCGATAGGTTCTCGAATGTCACGAAATCCCGTGTGAACTAAAGAATATGGAAAAAGAAGTAAAAGGAACTAAGGCGAAACGATATCAACTATTTTGTACGATCGCGGATCGTTCGCGGAAGAAAAAGCACCACGGCTTCGATCTACATAGACAGTCCAAACGGAAAGTCACGATGCACCCCGTCGTCGCCGCGACGATGGCGGTGACGACGATGGGTATGCTGCCGTCAAACAACGACACCTATAAGTTTATTATCGCGAGATTACTCGAAGATAGACAATCACCGTATATTACACTGACGTATATTATGCTACTAATGCTAATCAGAATATTGTATACACTTAGCGAAAGATCGAAGAGGGGATCAGACCAGACTCGAGTGGCGACCTTGTCACGAGCCCATTGTCATCTGGGAGTAGATTCCGCTTGTCTAACTCTGTCAAAGTGGCGTCGGTAATGGGCCCGACCGCGACCTCGGTGCCGGTGACCATGATTATGATTGTTGTGGCCGTGATTATGCTGCATTTGACGCGGTTGGTACTGCGAATTATGGTGGTTTTGGGCTTGGTGGTGCGTCGACTGCTTGGAATGCTGCGAACGACGAGAGAGAACGCTCGTTTGACAGAAATCAATAGAAAATCAAGAGATTAGATAATAAACAAAAGATAATGTAAAATAAAGAAAAAAATACAAAAAATATGTTACTATATAGATGAGAAAATTATTGATAATGATCAGTCATTTCTCTGTCTCTCGCAAATTAGCGAAGTTTTTATTTACTGTTTCCTCTGTTCCCGTTGCTTTGAAAATAATATTACTATGTTTCAAATTGCAAATAAAACTGGAAGCTATCCAAAGCCAGAAGACATGGATTAAGAATAAATAATAAAATACATAATAATATTACTATGTTTTTATGTTAAAACGCTTCCAGGTTTATATAGTTTTGGACAAAAACTTTTTTTATCAGATTTTTCTGATCGGGAACTTCATTATATTGTGTTTAAAATTAAGTGAACGATTGAGCATGCAAAATCATAAAACTATCTATTTTTATGTTTCTTTTCTTCAACAGTGGATTAACATATCCAAATAATTGTTTTTCTTTTTCATTATTTTGGTCGTCAATGCGTGGTTGACTACTCACCACTTGAGTAACTGATTGCACAGTGGTGGTATTCGAATATGCGTTCAAGCTCGTGCCAGGCGGGCTGACCTCTTCCGTAGTGGCGGCGGGATCATCTTCCGTCCTTACCAGCATCTTGACGCCCTCGGCCTCCAGATCGATTATACCGCCTCGTTGCTGCTGCCGTAGATACAGAGCGGACATCTGTTTCTGGAGTTCTCTCAACTCGGCGGTGACGGAGAAATCGGTAGCAGCTTCGACATCAATCGGCGGTGGGGCCGACCATAAGCTTTCGACATCGCAATTAATCGATTCCCGGCAAACTGGGCATATAGCCTGAAGAATAAATGAGGTATAAGTGAATAAATATTAATATAAAACGTAAAAGAGAGAGAGAAAAATATTTCGCAAACATCACGAAATTGACAGATGAAATGAAATTATTAATCTTAGCAATATGTTTCATTTATATAACATAAACGTACTTGAAACTTGTTTGTGGTATCCTGCTGCCACTGTGGTAACTTTTCCTGCTCCTCTCTATAATATCTCTCGGCGGCGGCAACGTGTGCTGCCAGACAGTGCGAATGAAAGTAATGATAGCATTCTGTTTTCGTGAATTCATCCCCCTCCCGAAAGCCGTACAAGCAGACGGCGCACTGATCGGTGGGAAGATTGCTCCTCGTCAAGTGTTCTCGTATTAACTGAATTATATTAATCCATTATCATTACATGTATTAACATTATATAATAATTTATTTACTTATTATTCTTTTTTCTTTAATTTATTATTATTTATTTATTATTAATTCAGTATTAATAATTTATCTATAATTAATTATTATTTCTTCATAATACACAAGCTCACAGTTTCGTATAGGTATCTTTACATAGCTGAAGAATCATGAAAAATCTAACTAAAGAAATTAATGATTTTTGTATATATTTTTTAAACAGTAAATTTTATCCAGGTAATAATGTTCAGATACATATGTATGTGTGTGAGAAAAGAGTAATTATTGATATTTCAATATATGTTCAAACTATGTGAGAACATAAATACATATAACTAATTATATAATAGATGCTCCATATTTGCATTAAAAAAATTTAAGTGAAAATTTGTACAAATTCTTTAAAAAAAGAAAAATTTCATGGAAATTTGTATATATAAATTTTCTCACTTCTTTTTTATAGAAATATCAATAAAAGAGAAATATATTTTTCTTTTTTACATTTTTACATTCCAATAAATGCTTAACAAAACAACTGAAAATAAGAAAGAAAAGAATTTCCATCAATACAGATTTTATTGTTTATACACACAACACACACACACATATACTATTTCAAAATTCAAGTTTTTAAACAAAAAGTTTTGGAAAACAACCAGATAGTTAGGGTAAATAGAAATGTAATCATTAGTAAATGTTATCACTACTTTTTGCGATGTAGTCACAATAAAAGATAAATTGCTGATAAAAAGAAAAATAAAAAGCTGATAGGATAATTCCTCACCTCAATCAATTCGAACATAACTGGCTGACCTATGAAGTCTTTACATTTGGCCTCCGCGTCAGATTGCATCAGCTTCACCGTATCCTCGTCCAATCCTCTCGGATTTCTCAGATTGATAGCCGGCGAGACATCCGGATACCCCAAAGGTAATCGAACGATCAAGGTGACACAAACATATTGCGATTGCGAATCCTCACCGGTCGATGGGAACAGTATCGTCTCGATATACTCTGGCTCTCCTCTGCACAAACATGAATTATTGTTAGAAACAGCAAGTTAATTTTTTAATATTGTAAATCACCTAACCAGGAATATCACATACTTTGTAGTTACCTGGATATATATTGCAAGCAAATTGTAATTAAATATCGAAAATTATAGAAGAAATTAGAGTTTTTAATATATACATATGTGTGTGTGTTAAAATCTATACACATAAGAATTTATAGGAATAATATAGAATAATATAAATAATATATATATAA